CTGGGTTGCGCCCAGCCACTGAGCCCGCAGATTCCCCCCCTCCCCGGTCTCCTCCATCCCCCCTCCACCATCACCTCCCCACTACCAGCCGCCAGGCCTCGCCGATCTCCTCCCCCCCTTCCCCCAGGCTTTTGCGGCGAGGCCTAAGTAGCCTTGCCGATCTCCTTCGAGTGGCTTCCGGCCACTCGGGCCTCCCAATCTCCTCCCCCCCTTCCTGTCTTGGGCCCGGCCGATCTCCTTCCCCCAACCCACTCCGGCAGCAAGGCCTGAGTGCCTTCCAGCCGCCGGCCCGCCAGTTCCCAGAGCGTTCTCTGCGCGTGCGCAGGGAACGCTCATTTAATTTTTACTTTTTACCTAATTTAAATATTTTTTTCAACTTTTAATATTTTTCTGCACACCTGGGCATTGTACCACGTGTGCAGGAAAATCTCCCTGCCCCCCAGGTGCCCCCGATGTGCGGATTTAGATATCCGCACAGAGGGGGCAACTTGGCTATTAGATATATAGATGGAACTAGAGAATATTAACAAATATTAGAGAATAATGAAGCGATGAATTAGGTGTAATAACAAAATGTAACAAGTCTCTTGACATATATGTTGTTTGTTGTAGTTGTTTATGTCTGTGTTTAGGAACATAAGAAAATAATAAAAGTGTACCTTTGGGTACTTTAAAAAAAGAAGAAGAAGAAGAAGAGATTGGATTTATACCCTGCCCTTCACTATCCGAAGGAGTCTCAGAGCAGCTTACAAATCTCCTTTCCCTTCCCCTCCCCACAACAGACACCCTGTGAGGTCGGTGGGGCTGAGAGAGCTCTGAGGTAACTGTTCTTGAGAGAACAGCTCTGAAAGAACTTGTGACTGACCCAAAGTCACGCCAGCAGCTGCATGTGGAGGAGTGGGGAATCAAACCTGGTTCTCCCAGATTAGAGTCCATGTACCTAACTACTACACCAGACTGGCTCTCACATGCCACCTGTGGGACTTCTGAGCATTGTTCCCAAGTGTGGCCCCTGCCCTGTGTTCTGGGGAAATGAGCAAGGCCCTTACCCAATGAGGCTTGTGGTTGTTGGGTGGTTCCCACTTCGAAGCAACCACCACCAGAGGAACTGGTAAGCTGTGAGCTGCATTGAGCTGCATGCTTCATGCCAGGGATGGAAGTCATTGTGTTCTCTTTTGGTTGATGGCGAGTGCAAGAGATACTGGGTTGCTGAAAAACACGTGCGCTTTCACACCTGCCAAATAATGCACTTTCAATCCAGTTCAGTGACCATTTCCAAACGGATTTTGCCATTTCACACAGCAAAATCCAGTTGCAAAGTGCATTGAAAGTGTGTTATTTCGTGTGTGTAAAAACGCCACAGACACTCCATAATCCAGGCCTTGTGTTATAAATGCAGAGTAGTAGTTGGTGTGTTGAACTAGGACCAAAGAGACCAAGGTTCAGGTTCTCAATTTCTATGAAACGTACTGGTTAACCTTGGACCAGCCGTTCTCTTTCAGCTTCACTTGCCTCACAGGATTGTTGTGATGATAAAATGGAGGGGAGAACAATGTATGACACTCTGCGCTGCTTGGGAGAAGGGCAGATGAAAGATACACAAGACACACTTGGTCGTATAAAAAGATGTTGGGAGTAGAGATGTGAAGGCCCGGAAAAAAAACGGAAAAATTCGGGGGGGGGGCGTTTTCCCCCCGGTTTTTTCCTGAAGCCTTTTTTGTTTTCCCCCGAAATATTGGAAAAATTGAAAAAAGAAAAGAAAAGAAAAAAATTGATTATGGAACGTTTTATTTTAGCATGATGAATTAAATATTTTAAGACAAGGTGTTCAAATATTTTCCAAATCAGATTGATCTAATTTCTGTGTACTGAGGACAAGCAAGTCCTAGGTTACAAACTGAACTCTCCAATGCAAGAACAAGATGCATTTCTTCCTTTAGGAGGTGCTATTGTCAGAAGAAAAGAAAAAGGTATCAGTTTTGTTTTTGCATGTGGGTGGGTATTCCGTTTGTAATAATTGTTCGGATACACTATATTTTTAATATGCTAGTTGTGATAATTTCATGCCAAGTAAAAATGTCCATAGTCATATTTTATGTTCCTAAAGTAACAAAATGACTTTGAATCTAGAAAAGACAAAATAAATGCTAATGTAGCATTTTTTTCAATTTTTCCGAAAATTTCCGTTTCCCCCCCAAAAAAAAACTGGGGGGAAAACGGGGTTTTTTCCAAGCTTCAAAATTTCTGGAAATTTTACATCTCTAGTTGGGAGTACATATCTTTTGTGTTGTACGAGCCACTGCTAAACATTTATCATTGTATTTTGTGATGCATTGCAAAACTAAGGTGATACGGTAAAGGCGGGCCATATTAGCCTGTGGCCCCAAAAGCAACCCCACTGGAGGTCTTCCAAGCAGAGGCTGGGCAGCCGTCTGCCAGGGATGCTTGAACTCTGGCTTTCCTGCATTGAACAGCGGGTTGGAGTAAATGCCCTGTAAGGCCTCTTCAACTTAAATGTGTCATTACGGGCTAAGCTTTCCTGGGCCGGAGCCCAGGATTCACATCCAGTAATTACCTTTGTGCAGGTAAATGTGTTCATAGGTAGTTCCTGAACAGGGATGGGCATGAACCTAAAAAGGGTTGAGCCGCCCCAAACCTCCTACTTTGGGTGCTGAGAACAGCCACTCCAAGAGTCAGCCATGCAGGACGCACTCCCCATTTTTTAATTTTGTGAGGGTGAAAGGCCTCGGCTGTCTACTCTCAGGGTTCGTTCAGTGGGCTGAGTCAGTGATTCCAGACTAAGTCAAATTTATTAACTTAGGGAGTTCTGCAAAGCATAAATCACTCAGTTGCAGGCAGATGGACATAAAACAAATAAACTTCCCTATTGCTACATAAAACCTGCCTCTCTGAAAACTTTAGACCTTATTGCCTTCAAGCATCTCTGCATGGCATTCTTTGGACATCCGTCTTACCCGTCTGACAGGATACAGGCCCTCTTCATGCCTAGCTGGTATAGCGTGGCGTCATGCCAAAGTGGTAAAGGTAAAGAAAAAGGGGTAAAGAGTGTGCACATTAAGAACCCATCTTGTCTCGCAATCAGTGATTTGCCGAGCAGCTCAATAGCCAGTCAGGGTCAACCAGTTGGTTATCACCTGCTATGAGAGGAAAACTAGGGAGGACACTCTCTAAGACAGCCCCCCAAGGTTGAATCGTGGAGGAACAGAAACAGCTCACAGGTGTTACTAATCATCAGTGGGAACAATTCTAAACAGGCCAGAATCCCAACAATGCTTAGAGTTCTGAAGGACAATCCAGCCACCTTATTAGAACCTGGGGCCTAGATTACCAAGTTCCTTACAGATGGTTTGGGGTTCAGGGCAGCCCATAAACTGAAACTTCCCAAACAGGCCCCACCCGAACCAAAGCGGTTCGGCAAGTTCAGCTCCTCCTTTCTCCCGGCCGTGGGTCACCGGGGCCAGAAGAAGTCTGGTGAAGGGAGCTTTGGCTCTTGGAAGCCCATACCGAGAAAATCTTGTGGGTTTCTAAGGTGTAATTGGACTCAAGCCTAGCTGTTCATACCTAGTGTCTCTAGTTGGGCGTTGGTCTGATCTGCACCGATAGGATTCTGTAGGCACTTGTGTTCTGTGCAGGAACATGACATGCCTGCCTTGCTTGACCTCGGGCCTCTCTTTCATAAAGAAAGAAAAATGATGTTTGATATGTATAATCAGCCTTTCTGGACTCTGGGGCACATAGACTGCCGCATTTACCTGGCGTGCATTTTAGGAGGAGGCGCTGGCCAGCCAAAGCATAAAAAGGTAAAGGTCTCCCTCGCTCGAAAGCCAGTCGAATCCGACTCTAGGATTGCGGTGCTCATCTCCGTTTCAAAGCCGAAGAGCCAGCGCTGTCCGAAGACTTCTCCGTGGTCATGTGGCCGGCATGACGAAACGCCAAGGCGCACGGAACACTGTTACCTTCCCACTGGAGTGGTACCTATTTATCTACTTGCAATTTCTTGCTTTCGAACTGCTAGGTTGGCAGGAGCTGGAACTAGAGACGGGAGCTCACTCCGTCATGCGGCACACTCGGGTCTCGAACTGCTGAACTACTGACCTTCCGCAGCCTGCAGTTCAGCGTCTTAACCACTTGAGCCAAAGCATATGCCACAATAAATGTGCAAGTGTTTAAAGTGCCAGAGAATTATGTTTTTGATTACTATTTACACTCACACACACACACAAACTTTGTCAGAGCAAAGGTTTGAGGCTCTTTAGAATTCCGGCATTTCATCCATGTGTGGCTTCATTTGTCATATTTTCTTTTTCTGTTTTTCCTCCCACTGTCTATGATTGACTCAGCCAATGAATTGGGGGGGGGGAGAGAGATCAGGCAAACCCCTAAAGTGTCAGGTGTCAATCCAGTGACTCTTGTCTCCTACTTGCTTTTAAATCCGGTGCTCTTTTCCCCCAAACTTTTGCAGCCAATCTTTCCCAGTCAGCTTTCCTGTGCTCAAGATATGACGAAGACTTGGACGATGTTAGCTCCACATCCTCCGTTTCCCAGGTCCTGGAGAATGAGGATTCCCAGGCTGCGGAGAAAGAGGAAGAGTTGGCTGTCCCGATCTCGATGCCCCGCCACCCGCCCGTCGTCCGGACTCCTTCCGTTCAGCCTGGCCTCCTGCCACAGCACTTAGCTGTCAGCAAAGCCCACATTCCAATGAACGCTTTGAGTAAGTAAGCTGTAGAACTTTTATTGTGGAGATTTATACCAGGGGGATTTTATTGTTGGCACTATAATGCTGAATTCATGTGAGCCACTGCTCTGACCCCATTTGTCGGTTTTCTCTGTTTTCATAGTTATAGATGTTGCAATGGTTTGGCTTCGTGTGAACAGGCAAGGGGGAACCCCAGACTCACATATTGCATTCTCCCCATACATACCGCAACCAAATTAGATACTTTTAGCAAACCGTAGCTTGCCGTTGCATCCAAACCAACAAACCGCGGTTTGCCCTTGCCCAGCTACAAACCGGTCTGTCAGTGGAAAGCCCTTGGGAATGCTGGCTTTTGTCATTTTCTCTTCTTCCCTCCACCATCCAGAAAGCTCATTCCCAGGTTCATGCGACCCCCATGGACTAGTTGTCACATGGCATGGGTCAGAGAGCAGTGAGGCAGGGGAAGGGGGAGGATGTTGCCCCTTCTTCCTCTTTCATCAGTAGAGCTGCACTTGCAGAAGACAGAGGAAGACGATGATTTTGTCATCTTCCCAGTCCTTATTACAGGCCCCCGACTCGCATCAGTGTGTGTTCAGCTTTTTGGGCATCAGAAGGGAAACCAGCAGAAAATCTGCACTCTTCCTGCCGGCAGATCACTGAATCTAATCCCGGGATCTAAAACCGGGAACAACTTTTGGATGTCCTGTTTTGGGGTGGCATCTTAACTGAGCCCCAGTTTCTCTTAAGTGAAGTCTAAATTATTGGGGGCAGGGTGATAAAAAATATTTGAAATCTATGACAAACAAACCGATATCCTCCAAAAGGGCCATCTCCTCTTAGGACAATGAAAACAGCCAAAAACGTTATACAAGCTTTTTGAGTTCTCCAGAACTCTGTATTAGACTACATTTCCAAAAAAGTAAAAGAAGGAAGGAGGTTTTTTCAGGCTCTGCTCTTCAGGCCGTGTGTCTGTACCCAGCACTTGAATGCCCAGCAGTCTTGCCTATATTGGGTGATGCTGGGCAGAACTGAAATCAGGTTGCACCTTCAGTCTTCTAAGGAGGAGGAGGAAAACTTCCT